GGGGGGACAAACTCATAAACAAGTCTCCAACCCTTTTCCTCACTATGCCTTTAAGGAGACCTTTGGGAATGTCAGTGCTCTGAGACCATGTGACACCGCCTATAGAGCACAAAGGGCCTTCATCTTCTTCTTCCTCCTCCTCCTCCTCCGTGTCTTTTCGGAGCGCTTCTCAACAGAGGAGCAATAAGGCCACTCCGGGGGTGTCTGTGTGAAGGCGAGTGACGTGAAAGGGTCTGTAAGAGTGGGAAGGAGGGGGTGTTATGAGGATGCTCACAGTGAGTGGTGCATTCACTGACCCCCTCCACCTCAACGACCATTCATATGAGCAGAATGAACCTCCATGGGGAGCGGGGGCCCTCTGAGGAAAAGCGGCGAATAGAAAGCAGGAGAATTGGGGGGGGGCAGAGAGGCGAGGGTGGGGGGGGGAGGGGGCTTTTCCTCCAAATGTGCAAAGACATTCCACTATCCTGACCAGCCCGAAGAAGATGCTCGTCTTCATAAACCCGTTCTGTGTCAGTGGCTTGGACGCAGAACAAGGATGTCGACGACGTGCCAAGTGTCGAGCGGTCAACTCTTTTCTGGTTTTCCGCTGTTTTTCTTTCACGCTGTTTTCAAGTCGGACAACTTTCGCAAGTTGAGGCCTGACTGAGTGTCTTTTCGCAACAATCTGCCATTCTGGCTCCAGAGCTGCACATGAAGACAGCGAAATCAATGCAGTCTCATTTCCTTTAGCATAAGTTGTCGCCTCTAGTGGATTTCGAGCCATTATTAGTGATATTGTAATCATTCCTGTTGAGGGAATGCCGGGCGTAAAGACCGTTTTGGTCACTCGATGAAAAGTCACATTGATCGAAAGCGTCGGCACGCAACGCCGACTGACACTGAGTGCCTCCTTTTTTCCGATGCGGTAGCTAATTGCGCCGTTAATCGCCGGGGGAGGCGCAGAATCCCGACGACTTTGCCGATCCGCTTTGGCTGTCAGTTTCATGACTGCGGGCTGTCTAATCCTCGGTTGTATCTTGACAGGTTGTAACCCGAGCCCTGAGGGTGTGCTATTGAAATATGAAAAGACAACATCAAACGTGCATGCGAGGGAGAACACGGGTGTGTCTGCAGCATCAACCAAGTCATTCATGAAGTAGTATTCCGGTGTTTCTGTGGTGAAAGAAGGCAACGGGAACATTCGTCACAAACATTAGTATTCTGCCCACAGTCCTTGTTTTGCAAGACGAGCCGGTCTTTACAAACAAACAACCAGCAGAGGGCGGGGAGGAACTATGCAGGTATTTGGGACGCAGTCGACTGGCTCGATCCATCTATGGCTGTGATCCACTTCAAGCCCCCGTCTCTGGATTTTCCGCCGTTCACTTTCACGGCGAATCTGTCACACTTCTGTTGCGCGACGGTTTCTATCCCCTTGTTTGAACTGTCAAGGCACTTTCAGTGAAGGATGTGCTTTTGCGCTCCTTCCTCGACGGATCAGGGATGTCCATTCCCCGCCTCCTCCTCCTCCCTCTCATTCCGGGTAAATAACCGGGCGCCCGTGTCGGGAAATAAGACTGTCACGGCGTTCCCCGAGCGGAGTGGATTGAGTTGTTGCACATCCGCGAGCCGGCTTCGATACACGGAATGTTGCGGCAGTGACGCCGTCGCGGGCCGAAGGTAAACAAAGGCCGCCGCCGGCGGGAATTTCCCGTGAGTGTGTTGTTCCTCATCACATTTTTGCCGGGTATTAATGTGGACATGTAATTATGTGCTCGTACACAGAAAGAACAACACGGACAAACCTCCAGGAGAGCCTCTTGCATCTCAATAGATGAAGGTGGACAGTCGCTGCGGACAGAAGCAGTCAATCAACGATGGGAAAATCTATCGTAATAGACCTCTGATGTGAACAGCTAATCAGCCATTTTGGTTTGAATTAGCTCGTTTGGCTAATTGCAGGGATCGACGGTTGTCACCCCAAAATTGCCCCAACACCCGTTTAATTGCTCATCATGAAATTGGGTTTACAAGTCCATCATAAGATGATGCACGACAAAGTCTGATGGGCCCATCCCCCAAATTGAGACGCTACGAGGTGCCGTTTTAGTTTGAGGTAGCCGTTTTGGGCGAATTCCAGAGCTTGAAAGTTAGAAAAAAAAAAGTATCCTCTGACACCAGTTAAACTAATTGACACACAATTGGGTGGAAGTGTCGATCTTAAAAAGAAGAAAAAGTCTCAAGGTCCCGTGTGTGAAGTTGAGCAGAAAGTTCGACATGTTGGCTTGAAGTAGCCGTTTTGGGGCCGAGTGCAGGGATTGTACTTTGGCCAACTTCGACTAGGCAACCCATCCAATTAAGCCCCGTCAGAGTTGGAGGATCGTTCCACGGCTTCGCCGTGAACTCCTTTGCTTCCATCTCGGGCAATAACTCTCTCCAGCCACCGGAGGCCAGTACGCCCGTGATAAGGTCATCTTCTCAACGTGTGACGGCTTCGACGGAAAAAAAAAAAAAGAAAAATCCATTGGCGAGTGTGCGAGCGCGGGGGTCAGGAAGGAGGCACGTACATCACTCGCTCGGCTCCAAAAGAGAATAAGTGCAGCCCAATCAATGGGATGGAACAAAAAAGAGGCGCACGCGCACACACACATAGAAACACACACACGCGTATGTGCGTGTGGCCCCTGGCAGGTAAACGGCGAGCCCATCAGCTGCTTTTGTTTGAGACTAAAAGAAGAGGAGGGAAAAAAAGAGGCGCTCAATCGTGGCGTGAAAGGCCGCTGATGGCCGGTGCCGTGACGATGGACCACGAGGGTCGTCTGCTCGCAGCGACACCACCTGGGGACCACTGCGGCCATCAAAACAAAGCCACACATTATGACCAGTGGGCAGGAAAAAAAAAAAAAAAGAAACCGGCGCTATGGTGGTTTCGATGCGACGTCATTTGGAATACAAAAATCCGATGAACAATGGTCATCCCTCCATCCATTTTCTGAACCGCTTCTCCTCGCCATCGGGTATTATTTCTTTCTTTATTTAATGTCTCGGATTTATTTATCAGTAGCTATTTAATGTATTTGTTTTTTTCTTCAAAAATACCGCTTACCTGTTAATACATCAAAGAATTTTTCACAAATTGTTTACGAGTTTTGTCGATGATCTGCGCTTTGCTTTCCATTCCTGACATTAATGGTCGCCTTTTTATGATGTCATATTCCCCAATATTCTTTCATTTATTTGCCTTATTATCTCTCCTTTCAAGTTTGACATCTGACATTGGCGTTCATCCGCACGGTAATGATCCTCGACTGGTTTTTCCACGAGAGTCTTTCTTCTGGTTTCTGACTGGTTCAAGTGGGTTCACGGCACCGCCGCTTTCTTTTGCGTACAACTGAACAGTTTTCATGGCTACTCGGTGTGAACTGTGAATAATCACCACATGACGATAGTTGGACACCGCTTGATCTCTGGCGAGCTGCCTGCTCTCGCTGTTATTGACGTTGAAATTGTCCTTGATGCTCCCGCGTGCTCCGAAGTGATGAGGGCGGAAGCCTCGAACCGTCTGCGAGCCTTTTTATTTCCATTAGAGCTTGCTGTGATGCTTTACTTTGTGTTGGCTGCACTGGCGTGGATTCAAATTAATTAGACCCATTTGAGTGGCGTGCTGCATCTGCTACTGATGTTTATGATGTCATATTCCCCAATATTCTTTCATTTATTTGCCTTATTATCTCTCCTTTCAAGTTTGACATCTGACATTGGCGTTCATCCGCACGGTAATGATCCTCGACTGGTTTTTCCACGAGAGTCTTTCTTCTGGTTTCTGACTGGTTCAAGTGGGTTCACGGCACCGCCGCTTTCTTTTGCGTACAACTGAACAGTTTTCATGGCTACTCGGTGTGAACTGTGAATAATCACCACATGACGATAGTTGGACACCGCTTGATCTCTGGCGAGCTGCCTGCTCTCGCTGTTATTGACGTTGAAATTGTCCTTGATGCTCCCGCGTGCTCCGAAGTGATGAGGGCGGAAGCCTCGAACCGTCTGCGAGCCTTTTTATTTCCATTAGAGCTTGCTGTGATGCTTTACTTTGTGTTGGCTGCACTGGCGTGGATTCAAATTAATTAGACCCATTTGAGTGGCGTGCTGCATCTGCTACTGATGTTTTTTTTTTTTCCCTTCCTTTGTATGACGTGCGAGATGGTGGCGTGGGTTGCACATTGAGCCGCGCTTCCTGTCAGGTTTGGCGTCCGTGGGGGGAATACTGTCGGCGTGGGTGTGCGGATGTAGTCGTCGTCTGAGGAATGGCAGCGCAATGCAGAGAAGCCGGGTTTCTCACCGCCGCTTCAGTGGAAAGATTTTGATATAATTAGGAAATATCACACAAAGGAGAGAGTCATGTTGTGCTCGTGGGCCTCATCACGGCTGTGATTCGCTCATAGGCACAGGCTTGTTTATTTATTTAAATCGGTGATTTGACTCATGCCGACATCAGTAGCATCAAACACTGGGGTTAGCCATTAGCGACATATGCTAACCGGCTAAAGTGCCAGGGTTGGTTTCAATAAAAAGGAAATAGAACAAACGGAGGTTGTTTGACTAATTTCCCTTGCAGAGAGCTTGTTTTGAAAGTGCGACGGCATTGTGGGAAAAGATGCCGTGAATGATGATGAATGCCATCTCAAAAAACAAGACAGCGGGCGAAAGCAAGTGACCTAGACGGGGCGCAGGTGGGACAACTTACCTTACTCTCATCCCAAGAGGATCCCACGTCGCCTTTAAATAGTCCTTCAAAGCCCCCTTTAAAGCTCCCTCAAGCGCTCTTATATTATTTAACCTTTGAAAAGAAGAGTCAGAAAGCTTTCACTGGCCCGGGGGGCATCAAATGTCATTACAGTTTTTCTTGGGTTGCTAGTGAAAGTGATGAAAAGTGGATGTACATGAACGCTTCTGGTGAATGCGGTAATATCCGTCGTTCTTCACAGGGGATAAAGAACGCATTCCTGTGAGTTATCCTTTCAAAGTCATCTTCCAGTCCCCGTTGTAGCTGCACGTCATACAAGCGCACTTTCTTTTCGATGGTTCCCACTCGCTTCACCCGCCTTTATTATTCTCCATTCCTGTTCCGCTATCAGATATTCCCTCGCTCTTTCCGCGTTGTCCGGAAGGTTGTTTTCCTTCTCTGGAGTGGCATCCGCCGGCGGTTCACAAAGGAACGGCAATAAGGCTTCCAAATAAGTCCTGTTCAATATGCAGACGTTCGCACTCTTTCTCAACGACTTTGTCCAAGGACGCCAGCCCGTTTATTGTCTGGAATCAATCGCGGAGGCGGGCGGGCGGGAGCCCTAGCAGCCGCCATTCGGGGTTCATCTGGGACACATGATGGGCTTGGATGAGGACCAAGTGTACTCGAAACGACAAGGAAACAAATGGGGAGCACCTGTAACGCCGAGCGATGCGTCACGGCGCCTATCGTCGTGTTCCCCAAATGGTATGCGGTCGGCACCTTTGACGTTTAGGAAGGATTTGAAAGGAAAATAAGATCCACATGCGGAAAGGGTTGTCAGGTATCTCCTTCCATTATATTTCAAATAGAATGTGAAATAAAGTGTCCTAAACTTTCCAAAGTTTGGACACGCCTTCTCGTGCAATTGAATGAGAAACTGTCCACACTTTTAACTTGGCGTCAGTGTCGAGTTTAAAAAGTAACTCCGTTTGAATGAATCGCGATTAAATGGCACTTGATCAGCCAACATCTTCTCGCTCTTGTTTGCACACGCTCAGAGAGGGTCTATTGATCTGCGGTCCCAATATCGAACCCCCCCCCCCCCACACACCCCCAATCGATCCGGTCACTCATTGTGTGGGAGGGGCCCGGCTGTGTGTTGCGGATCAATGAGGCAAATGGGCTGTTTGATAGCTGCGAGCCCCACAAAGCCTGCGAGAACACCCGCACTTTATTTGGCGGTAATCCGAGGCACTTGAGTTGTTTTTTCCGTTGCAGCGCGCCTGTAGATGTGCAGTCCTCACAATGGTGCCCTTGGGTAAAGTTTTGCATTTGTGCCTCTTTCAGTTACACCGGAATGAACTCTCGTCAATAGTTCCTTTGGCCCCAAAACACAATGCCCCCCCCCCCCCAAAAAAAAACTTGTGAGTTCCCCGCGGACAAAGGCACGACAAAGCCTTAATGGAAGTCATCCGAATCCCGCCATCCAAAGTCTCAGACGCCGTCTTATCTTCAAAAGCAGTCGGCTCCCTTTTTAGTTGGCGCGATGAGGATTTTTCCTTTTATTGCTTTTGCCTCGACGCAAAGTCATCGCGGCCGCCGTTTCGTCTGTTTTGCAACGAGCGTCGGATCAATAGCGAGGGCGTGTTTGGCCCGCCTTGATGACAGCCGCGCGCCTCGGAGCGTCGCGTTCAAGCACCTGATTTCAATTTCGCATTCAAAGCGTGTTAAAAGTTAAACGCAAAGTGCAGCGCGGGCTTTTGAGTCGTACAAAGTGACACTCGGATGTTTAAAGTTGTTTGTGGGTGACCTTGGCAGGATGCACGGGCGCAAGCAGTGGAGCACGCGAGCCGCCGTCATGGCCCTGCTGGTGCTCGCCGCCATGGCGGCCGAAGGAGGCAAATCCGACAAACAAGGTGACAAAATCGGCCAACTCTTTGTCGCTGTTTCGGCATCATTTTAGAAATTGATACAGAATTTTGGGGGGTTTGGTGGCCCTTGTTTAAACAGTTTTTGATTCTCTTTTGTCTGCTTGTCTGTGTTGCTGCGCTATTTGTGTTCCGTAGCAAATAGCCAGTCGATGGAGTATGGCACTCTACTTCGCTCTGTTTTGCTGATTGATCTCGTTGAATACCCCGTTGAAAATCCTGAAAGTGTGAACCTGGAGGTGTTTGGTCGCAGGCAAGAAGGAGCGCAAGTCGGACTGCGGCGAGTGGCAGTGGAGCGTCTGCGTGGCCAACGAGGGCGACTGCGGCCTGGGCACCCGCGAGGGCACCCGCACCGGCACCGACTGCAAGCAGACCATCAAGACGCAGCGCTGCAAGATCCCCTGCAACTGGAAGAAGAAGTTCGGAGGTCAGCACTGCACACTGTATTGCGTGGAAAAATCAAGATGAGCACTTTTGAGTTCCTGCAACTAAACGCTGCTCTTAATATCATCAGAGCGCATTTGGCGCAACGCCGCTGCCGTACCTGGGAACAGTCTGAGTCCTCGGTTAAGTGTCAAAATGTCCGTGAGAAAGATGTTAGCACAAGTCTCGCCATTTTTTTATTTTTTTGGGGCACTGTGTTCAGTTTTCCGTCTGGGTTCACGCTTCGCACCAGTGACCACCGCGCCCCCCCCTGCTCCTGCTGCTGCTGTCAAGCCTTCCTCCAGTCGGCGTCGCTCCCATTTGAAAACAGTTACTCTTCGCCGCCAACAAGTCCCGACAGGCGGCTGTCTCTTTCTGTTTCTCTCGGAAGTCTCTCGTGGTCCCAGAGTCCATGACAGGATCACTCTCGCATGGATCAGGACACTTTGGGGGACTTTCTGCGACCAGACGTGTCGGCCGACGACCCCAGTCGCGCTTACAAAAGTGACACGCCACGATTTGGATCTGATCCCATGATACAGTGCGACTCGCTCCAGTTACGATGCGATACGATTCACTCCAAATACGTTGTCAGACGATGCTGTCCAATTCCGATCGGATGTGACGCGATACATTGTGTGATGCGTCAACGCCAATCGTTTTTTTTTTTTGTTTTGTTTTCCTCTCTCTCCCATCCCAAGTAGCTACATGAGGTCGTCGAACTATTCGGACCAGCTGTCGTCATGATGCCGCTTTCTTTTCATTGCGGCTCATCTTGCGTCCGCTGAGTGCATGGGCCGCGTGAAGGCCGGCCAGGGGCTTCCTGCCAGATTCCCAGGATGCTTCGTCCAGACACTAAAGGCTTTTTCAAGCGCTTAGGACCTCCCCAACAATCCCCAACTCCTGACAACAATCCCCCAATACCTCCCTTGATGAGCACCCTGAGAATTGCCCGGCGACGACAAGAGGGTCTTTCATTTTCAGTTTCCCCCACCCGACCTCCTTTTTGTCCCCCCCCCCCACCCACCCCCATCCCTCGAGTTTACAAGATGACGCCAAGAGCGATACGAGCACGTGCAAACGACGACGTACGGCAGCCATTTCCCGGGGCAAATTGCATGCGCGGCGGGAGTGAATTGAAGGTGTCTTACGGCTTCTATATCGCAGCAAAGCACATACGTGCGAGTTATTTGAGCTGACAAGATTGTATCTGAACATGATTTGCAGGACCGAACAGCAGCCGGGACGCTTCTGATTGGACTCATCTGTTAGCGCGGGTGCCGTCACGCACGCCCGCCGCCATCTGTTCCAGTGAGCAGACTATCTAGAAGCGAGCGGGAAGGAGACGGCATCTGGCGGCGGCGGCGAAGCGCGGCGGTGGCGGCGGCGACAATAAGCGACTCAGATGTTGTTGTCTTTGGCAGGGGAGTGCAAGTACGACTTCCAGGCTTGGGGGGAGTGCGACCTGAGCACGGGCAAGAAGAACAGGACGGGCGTGCTGAAGAGGGCGCTGATGGACGCCACCTGCGCCCCCACCGTCACCGCCAGTAAGCCTTGCGGGAAGATTCCCAAGGCCAAGCTGCAAGGTGAGCGCCTCAAAGATGCAGCGAGCGGCCCTTCGGTCATCCCAAGAAAGAAATGGCGTGCAAATACAAAACGATACGACACCATTCCCTCACACGTTGGTAGGATGAGGTCAGATACGACCCAAGACAAGAAGATTCCCAGTTTGAGATTGTGATGCGCGATCATGAGATGGTACACATTCCATATCAAATTCATTTGATTCATTCGTCGGGTGATTTAATCGGCCAATATTAGCTATTTTTGGATGCTATTTTAGCTGTTTAATACATTTTTTATATATTTTAATCATAAATGGGCTGATTCCTTTGTTCTGATCATTTTATTCTGACAATTCTAATATTTTGGCAGTCTTCTAGTTTGCATGTGCCGGTCCACTGGATCTGCTTTTCGCTCTCAATAACTTAACCCGGAACTGAATGAGTTCAAACCCACAGAGGCACTCCAAAGAGTTCTAGGTTTCAAGTCCCTGCCGCGAAAAAGTGCCGCGAGGTGGAAGTTTGTTCCCAGGATGTGAAAGTCAAGTGTGGAGGTTCCTCTCCAAGCACCCTCGGATATTTGCAACTTGCCTTGCTTCCCCGCACTCGTGCTTGTTTCAAGAAAGAGACTCGCGCAATGTTGTGCACCATGACAGTGTTCCTCTGGCGCTTTGGGAGTATGCTGACAAGCCCCCACCGGCCCCCCGGCTCAGCCCACTCTTCTTGCCACTTCACTTTCTGCACTTGAGATTCCGACGTGAACCCCACAGTCGGGAACTGCCTCGGCGTGCCGTTTATATTTCAATATAATGAGGCTGTTGTTTCAAATGGACTCCACAAGACTGTACCCTTCAATAAATAAAGGTGTCAGCGTTGGTCTCGGTGAAGCGGGGGGGGGGGGGGGCGGCGATTGCGAGCGGGTGGTTTTCTCGTCCGTAAGTCCCGCTTGGAAGCGGGCGTATGAATTATGGATGGCCACGTCCGCGCCTCGCACAGACACAGTAAGACTGTCTGCTCAAAGAAGCGAACCTCGCCGACACCAGCCAAACACTCGCCCCTCATCCCGCATGCCGATGCGACCGCAGTCACGGGACGCCGTCCCAATTCTGACACTCTTCGCTCCGATGACGATAACGTTCACGCTCCAATTAGGACGCACTCCGATTCTCTCTGAGCGCGAGACAATTCCCTCCAATTACAATGCGATTGCGCAATTTGCTACGATGACGATACGACCGAATCCAATTAAAATCAATCATGTGATAAGATCCAGCAGCACCGTACGATCCACTCAGGTTCTGTTACAGTACATTAGGATTCCCTCCCTTAGCGACGCCGTGCACTTCGAATAAAATGGTGACACAGTCACAATCACTCAAGCGGCATCGTCGGACTTTTTTTTTTTGTTTCCTCGTCGCAAAGATCGTTTTTGCGCCGCCGATCTCTTTCTTCTCCGCGACAGCAATGAATGCTTTTTAATTGTCCGTCATCCTCCAAGACGTATCCTCGTGATTGCGCCTTCAGAATCTCCCGCCGCCGTTCACGGCATCGGCCCACCTCGCTCGAGCCTCCTATTTAAGCGCGGGCTTGACGCTCGGAGCGACGGCGTTAAAGGCGAGGTGAAGAGGTTAACTCGCTATTCAAATGTAATCACACGCTGTTAGCTTCTCACTCACACCTCCCGCCGAAGGAATAAAAACCCCGACGAGAGAATGTCAAACGCCGCACGCAATATTTGACTGCGAGGCGCCGGGTCGACCGGGAGCGAGTCAACGGCCTTTTTGTTAGCTCTGCAAACCGGGACGTAATTGACCCGTAAACACGATGCCGCGGCCGCTGCCAAATTGCCAATGAGCGCTCACAAACCGGCCGCCTTATCGCGCTGGGCAGATGACACGCAGGCGGCGGGTTGGCGGAACCCCGACGTCAGGCCGGGCGAACGCCCGCATTAGCGCGTGCGAGGACAATATAATATTATTGTTAGCCACTGTAGCATCATGCCGAGTTTAAAAATGAACACTGCGCTCTAATAAACCCGAGTACAGGTAAAAAAAAAAAACAAAAACAGTTCCTAAAAGCCAAATGCAAATGAGTTGTCTAAAAAAAAAAAAAAAAAAAAAAACAGTTCCTAAAAGCCAATTGGAAATGAGTTGTACAAAAAAGTTCAAGACAACTGAACTGTACTTAGGCAGTGGTTGTTTTGCGTACTACGCGTAGCACTCATAATCGTGCCGTTTGCTGCGCATCGTGCAGGAGCTTCTGCGTGGTATCGTCGGCACTTCCTGTCTGCGAGCGTGCATGATAAATTTGTACTTAAAAAGAGACAAGCTGTTTATTCCGCGTCCTTCCATACTCACATTGCAGTCGGATCTTCAGAGCCGGTTCATTCCATTTGCTCAATTAGGATTTGATATTTTCATTTGTGACTAAATTGAATCCGAAAATCCCTCCGTGTTTATTTCAGACAAGGAAATCAAAAATACCCCCCAACCGCCCCCCCGACTCTACGCGGGCACCAGAAAAAGTAAAGCCTTCCCTTTTCGTGGACTTTGTCATTCACTTTATTGTCATGTTGATTTGTTAAATTAGAGGCAACGGCGTCCTCTTGTCGCAGTGCATATCGTTTGCCGTAATGCGGCGCGAACAGCGGGCGGCGGCGGCGGCGACGGCTGCGTGCGCGGCGCTCCCCTCCCGCATCCAATTCAATTCCCTTTAATGACCGCTCAGCTAAGCCGGAGGAATTCGATTAGCTCCAATGTGATTGGGGCAACATCACAAACTGGAAGGACACAGAAACACGCTAGTGGCGAAGCCGGCCTGTTTTACTTTCTGTAACTCGTATTCACGTCTTCTGTTCAGATGGGAATTTTCAAGCATAATTCCTGGTGGAGGTTTTCCCCACACGGACCAACACGAGGGGGCTCATTATGGGGCAAAGTACACGTGTTTTGAGCGCAAATGGTCCGTCTGCTCTTTCATTTTCTGTGACAAACAACATTTGCTGTAATGGCCGTCCATCCGTCTCCAAATTCTGCTTATTACAAACACTGAAAGCATTGTCTATTGGAGCCAGGCTCACTTTTTTTTTTTTTTTTACCTTTCAATCTGCATTTTCCCTGCACTCGGAGGGGAAGCACATTTGATATTCCCGAGGGGCCGAATGTGCCTGAGCCATCTTTTTTCGCTGCCTGTAGGAAAATCCAAAACATTGCATTCATTTGCGCATATTTACGATGCCCCATGCACTTTGCCAGGCGACACAAAAATTACAGGAAGTTGAGTTTCAGCATCAAAATTGGTAACAATGAGACAAAGCAGTACTGGAGTCCTACGGCTTTTCAAGTATCACTGGAAATGGCCTCCTCGCCCCCCCCCCCCCCCTCGCCAAAAAAAAGCAACATGGCAGACTTCCTTTGTCTTTTGCGACGTGGCTTTGTGTGTCTTTTTTGTGGGTCTTCTCATGTTAGACCGAGTTTTAAGTTAAGTATAACCAGCTTTTGGGACTGAATTTTCAAAGAAGGACAAAGTCAATGATGCTGAAAAAGATCACTTCCAAGCAAAATGGCGGACGACCTGTGTGCGCTCAAGCATTGCTTCTTGTAACTTTTTTTTGTGGGTCTACTTTCATGTTGCGAAGTCAAACTGGCTCTTGGGGAATCAATAAAAAACAAAACAAAAAAAATCCACCGGGTAAAGATCCATGATCGTCGAACAGGAAAACAAAACAGGTTACCACGGAGCTCCCTGCCCGAATGGTCGGTATCTGCTAAAAGATGGGCTCGATCTGCAATCGTAATCCTTTGCATTCCCGTCCTTGCACCTTTTCTGGAATCGCAAACACAGGATCGCGGTGGAGGTTAAACATGTGTCCTTTTGTTTGCTTCCCCCCCCCCCTCGCCTAAGCCCTCTGATCCATCTGCCGGAGGCCGACTGTATCTCTTCCATCCCCTGCGCGCCCCCTGCCCCATCCCCATCCCGTCTCCCGTGGTAACCTCTCTACTTCTCGGGGGTGGGGGGGCTTATCTCCCAACCGGCAGACGGGGAAAATCACATCTTAGCCTGAGATTGCTGGTCGCGCCGCACTCCTTCTGCCGTCGCCCTGCCTCGTGTGTAAGTGCGCCCGTGTGTGATAGCCAATTTCTGCCTGCCTTCATTAGAAGTCAGACACACGTAGCTGTCACTCAAACAGCCTTTGAATGTATCCAATCGGAGTCCCGATTCCAAGCAGGTATTTTAGGCTCAATTGCACGGGTCCTTGAAAGATGAACTTTTCCTTGAAATGTTGTCTGATTGCGTCGGAATTGGAAGCACACGCGAGACGGCGAGAGGCGTGAGGGTCCGTCATTGCGTGCGAGAGGAGCACGGCGGCCAACTTTGATGACTTGCTGTAAAACACCATACTCTCAGGCCAAAGGTTTGGAAGATTCCGCCCCGGAAATTGGTTTCACTCAGCAACCCGAAACTTGGTGGGAATGTCCATCAAATGACATTGGAGATGTGTCTTCGTTTGAAGGCGAAGCGATTTTAGGGATCGTTTACATGACAGTCTCTTGCCCCTTGTTTTATGCATTGATTTATTTTTTTCTTTTTCTTTCTCTTGGTCCTTTTCAGATGCCAAGAAGCAGAAGAAAGAAGGCAAGAAGCGAGAGCGCGGCCAAATGGACTGATGATGATGATGATGAAGAAGGCACAGTGGATGAAGATGAAGAGGAGGGTGGAGTCGACTGTCCCGTAGGCTGCAGCAGGAGAAAGCCCGTGCAAATAAGACCCGTAGTGTTTATATTTAGTGTTCTTCAGAAACAAAGACGTTAGATTTTATCACATAATCAGCACCAATTCACTGGAATATTATATCCTTCCGATTGCTGCTTTTCATTTGTCGTTACCTCAATTTACCCCATTTTTTTCTTTAATTCTATTAATCCTCAATACTGTAGTATTAAAATCCCTTCCAGCCCAAACCCGGCTTCCTTCATTTTCCCAGAATGCAAATAAAGGAATAAAAGATTTTTTTTAACATTTTTATTTTCATCCTGAAAGAATATGGCACAAGTTTTAACCATTAAGATGCATGAAAAATTGTCAATTGACTGTACTGGGGGTAAGGGGCTGTAGAAGAGGGGTGGGTAAAAGGGGAGGGATTTGGGAGGCTATGAAATACGCGTATGTGCATTTCCAATTCTTACATATGTCATATAGATTTTTATATATATCTGTATTTACATAGCAAACTTTTTTTTCCACAAGTCACACACACAAACATCTACAAATGCAACAAAAATGCAGTTGGCGGTGAGGCCAAATGTTTTTTTTTTTTTCTGTGTCCACTTTTGTGATCCATCCGCACAACATTGCAAATCATGCCCACAGAAATGCACGTCATTATTCTTATTAAAATAAAAACAACAACAACAAATAAACCATTTTAACACAAAAGTTTCTGTACACTTTGAAACGGCACATTTTCTACACGGATTATAAATTGTGTGTGAAATGTTGAGTAGATGGAGGGGAGTCTTTGGAAGCCTGTTTGGAATCTCCGGTCAGATGCTCGCGCGTTCACGTCTGCGTGCGCGCGCTTGCAAACAGCAAATATGGAGACAGATATGACAGCTGTTCAATGAAAGTAGCTGTAGCTCAGAGCTTACACATTCACATTGAAGGAGCAATTTGCATTTTGTCATTCCGGCTAAGGCACTTTGAAATTGCTCCGTACAATCTGGCGATATTTTCCATTTGTCGCTCGTTCCGCAAACTTTTTTTGCGCCCCCCCCCATCCCCCCTCTTTTCCACCACGTGGGAGGATTTTAGCCCTTTGACGTAAGCCGTGTGAAGAGGAGCCCGATTAGCTCTGACGGCACGATGAAGACGACGATGATAACGACGTGGAATAAAGACGGGGATATTCCGGAATTCCCACAATGGAACGCTTCACCCGGACGTCCACATTGGGACGGGGGCAGATTTTATTATTTAATTTTAAAAACATTTAATTGGTCAAATTCCCCACCCAGTCGTGTTTTAATTGGGTCTTCCATGCCTCTAGGGGGCAGCATTTGGCCATAAATGTGTATTTTCCATCCAAATTTGTGGAAGATGAACTTGCTCACTAAACCACAGGTGTTCCCACGGCTGAGGTTGTTCCAAGAGAGGGAAAAAAAAGCCGAAATTACCCTTTTGGTAAGTGTCATAATGTTACAATTGTCACCGGTGCTGTGTCATCATTTTTTTAAAACATATTCTTTCCAGCCACGTCGTGGGGAAAATGACATGCTAGCTAAAACGAGACATGCCATCCTTCGTTTTACGTTCGTAAAGGACGTCCAACGGCCGTCGAGGTGAATTAAAAAGACACCAGTTCCCCTTTGAAATAATGTTACTTTTCTCATGACCTCGATCAAGTGAATCAAACTTTTTGAGGAAAATGAAATTTTAGCTATGTTTGTTTACTTTTTGACCAGTTTTACCACCATTTCCCCACAAATCTTCCCCGAAAAAGGACATGTTATTTGAAGATTAATGTTAAAAAAAAAATCCGTGCTAGAATTGTTTCTTGGCACTTGTCGACCAGTTTTATAGCAATTCCCATTAAAGAAATTGTTTTAATGTGGTCCTCCTCCATGCCTCCAGGGGACAGCAACGAAAACCGGGGTCTCAAATCGATCGTGAGTGGATAAAGGACAAATCGACCCTTCTGGTAAGTGGAATAATGTTACTGTTGTAATCATTTTGAGACATAAGGGAATGCGAGTTAGAAATGTCATATTTGTAATTCCCCACCATTGAGCTGCAAATGCTTCTTCAACGTATGCAATTATTAGGTTCTTTGAATTGTAATAAAAGGAAACAGATTTATTTGTCACTTGAATATCGCGTTACCCAAGATTTCCCCCATTAGTAGTTTTTTTAAGGTCTGCCATGCTTCTAGGTGGCAGCACTTTGTTTTTGTAAAATGATTGTAAAAATGCTTTCCAGCTACATTGTGAGAAGGAGATGTGCAGAAAGAGACAAAAATCACTGAATAAGTCTCCTGGTATGTGGAGCACTGCTACTTTGCGATCAAGTTAACATTTTATTTACTGCCACAGCATTAGTAGGCAGCGTACGACCAGACAATATGTGTTTTCCAGCCATGTTGGGAGGAAAAAGACACGCAACCTAAACTGTATTATGTGCTTTCTTTCACGTATGGCCAAGAAAGCGTTGAAGCGGATAAAAAGACAAAATGCTGACCTTACTTCCGCCAGTGAACATGCATACGCTCTAGCTGAGCGTGTAACGGCCCAATTTTGGACTGTTCATTGCTCATGTGTCTGCTAATGTGCTCAATTCTTACCTCTCACCACACTCTTAATCAGCAAGGTGGCCAGTGTGCCTCCTATGAAAATTTTTTTCGCGTGTGTGACGTGGGTACACAAAACGCTAACATGATGCTAATGTGCCCATATGGCATTAAAGACGAGAAAGTAGCCCTTTTTAAATTGGAAGCCGGTAAAGGTGTGATCCGACGTTAACTCCACACTTGGAGCCCACAACCACGCATCAGCACGCACGCACACATTATATATAAACTCGCACCCGCATACATTGATCCTCACACTGCAAACAAACACGAATAAACTCTGAGCTTTAGCTACCTGTTGGATGCTGCCGAGATTCCTAATGTGGCAGCACACATAAGTATGTTATTAGGTGGCGACGGCAAAAAATGAGTCTGTCGAAAAGAGCCGAGTGAGCAAAACGCCGGGATGAACAATGCATTTTGTTTCCTTAAAATTTTCAGAACTTGTCCAAAAAACCCCCCAAAAAGCTTGAGACCAGCGTTAAAAATCATCACAAATAGAATTTAGCAATTTGGTTGCAGGCAGGAATCTAAACTAATGCCAAACGATGAAAAAAAAAAAAGGATGATGAGGGGATTTATGGAGAAGATTCTGAGTGAACACAAAGCTGCTTTGTACAGTTATCTACAGGTGTTGTCGCTGAACCTAAAACGCGTGAGGTTTAAATTCAGGAAGCCCTGTTGTCCCGTTGTGGAGCACAAAAATGTTGTAGCCTGTGTCATAGCCTACTGATGCTACGATTTCTTAATGGACATTTCAGAATGTTTGTAAACGATCGGTTTACTTGAGCTCTCGCCACCCATAAGTATGTGTGATGTCATGAAAGAAAATACCCTATCAAGCGATATGGTGGAAATGGTCGGACGGACGGTCATTCACACCAAATGAGCTGCACGGCTCCGTAGTCTTGGAAATGTCTACCTAGCAGAGCGAATGTTCTTGTACTGGCAGAGCAGTAAGTGCTTGAATGTCTTTTTGAAGGTGACGTTGCACAGGGCGTAGCAGGCCGGGTTGATGGTGCTGTTGATGTAGCACAGCCAGTAGCCCAGCGTCCACACGGTGTTGGGGACGCAGCTGTTGCAAAAAGTGTTGATCAGCACCATGACGTTGTAAGGCGTCCACGTGGCCACAAAGGCCACCAGGATGGCCATGATGGTGCGCGTCACCTTCTTTTCCCGCGACGGGGCCGCCTTCTTCTTCTTGTTGGGCGGCTGCTTGGTCATCTTCACAATCTTGCGGGCCACGTGGTTCTGCCGCTCGGAGGCCGGCACAATCTCCACCGTGGCGTTGGACGGTGTGTAGCAGTCACCTTTAGGGGATTTGGCCTTGATCTTGATGCAGGTCAGTTTGGAGACGCCCGCTTTGGCGCGCTGGCGGGGTAGCGGGCGGCCGGGGCCGGGGTCAGAATTGGCGGCCGACGGCGGCGTCTCTTCGTCCTTCACGTGGGATGCGGCCGCGCTGCCCGAGGTGGAGTCGTTGGAGCTCTCCTTTTCCTCGCCGGCGGCGCAGATCTCCCTCGCCGCGTCGTCGCCCTCGGTTTCGCCCTCAGCCGTGGTGGAGGTGGGCGCTTTGCCGTTCTGCATCCTGCCGTCGTGCTGGTTGCCGCTGTCCTCCGTGTTCTGGCTCTGGGAGGCTGCCGCGTTCTCAGCGGGTATGTTGTTGTTGTTGGGCTTGTTCCTGCGCTTGGCGGGAGACGAGGGCTCCGCGTTGCCTCCCGATGGCTTGCGATTATCCTTCTTGACGCGGCTCTTGCTCGCCCTGGAGATCTGCCAGTAGAGCTGAATCATGATGATTACGGGCAAGTAAAAGGCGGCGATGGCCGTGCCAAAAGTGACGGCTGCGTTTGAGAAGAACTGAATGTAGCACTCCTTCTCTGGCACCGTCCGCCCGCCCACGATGAACTGCCAAAAGAGGATGGCTGGCGCCCACAGGATAAAGGACAGGACCCAGGCGGCGGCGATCATCATGCCCGCCATTTTGGTGGTCCTTTTTACAGGGTAGCTGAGCGGCTTGGTGACGCAGAAGTACCTGTCAAAGCTTATGATGAGCAAATTCATGACCGACGCGTTGCTGACCACGTAGTCGAGCGCCAGCCACAAGTCGCAAACCACCGGGCCCAGGGGCCAGTACCCGATGACGATGTAGACCGTGTACAAGTTCATGGAGCAGAGTCCGATAATGAGGTCGGCGCACGCCAGGCTGAAGAGGAAGTAGTTGTTGACAGTCTGCAGGTTCCTGTTGACCTTTATGGAGAGCATGACCAGGATGTTGCCGATCACCGTGACCAGGCTGAGCGAGCCGGCGACCAGCACGATGAACACCACCTCCACGGTCTTGTAGGAGCCCTCGCGCTCCTCCGCCGCCTCGGTGTCGTTGCCTTCCGAGGCGTTCCAGTAGCTGAAATTCAGCGCGTCCATGGCACCGGCTCCCGCTCGGCGACACCTCCTACTCGCGCGGAACCTGCGGTGAGCGCAAAAGAACATTTGCGATGACAAAGATATTTAGACCCTTTGAAATGAAAAGTGCCGTCGCGTTAGCGTATTAATATTCCACTAAGCCGACACGCTGCCTCAACATCTGTTTGATAACCTCCGGGCTAACAATCGTCGAGGCGGCGCCTTCCATTGTCACGTCGCGTTATTAAATTGTGCTGTCAAGGCGCCTGCAGACTTCAGGAAAATGTTCAGAAGTATGACATTTAAATGGTCGGAAATGAATGGATCGTGTTTTGAACCAAAATGAAACGAGATCAAGTTTGGAACGGTCCCCCATCTTGAAAAAGGGCACTGCCACTCCCGAGGCGCTGTCCCTGATGTCCATGTGATGTTTTGCAGGCATTTCAATCAGCTCAGCCCCACAGCATCCAGTGTAGAGCAGGCGATGTGACGAAAAAGTTGATTTGATTTCATATCGGTCAATACCGACATGCATTCATTTTTGTTATTTAAAAAAGAAAAAAATGACATTGATCAAATAAAACCCGACGATCCAGAGGTTGAATTGTCCTAATATTCGAGTGGTTTGCACAAAATCCACTGGCCCTAATTGCTCCATAGGGTGACGCAAGTGCAGCATTTGAGTGCACAGTTGTGAACATTGACTTATCCGCGGCGCCAGAAATATCCAGCGGTGGCGTTGGGGCATGAAGCTAAGATGGCCTAATCCCCCATCAAATGTCGAATGCTGCCGATTTACGCCGGCAAAGCGCAACAATACTAACGGGAAACACTTTGTTCCCGCCCAGTGGATTAGAGCGGCAGCGCTGATGGTCACAGCGCAGTCCCAAAGGTGGGCCGCTCTTTGTCCTCCGCCTAATCCTCGGCGCACCTGAGCGCTCGGACACTCACACGAGAGTCCAAACAAATCCATCTGGTGTGCCCGTTGGACACGCCCTCCTCTTGACTTGACAGCCCGCGACATCTCTGCATGTCCCAGAGGCGCCCGAATGGAAAGAGAGTTTTTATTTTTTTTTTTCTTCCTTGCTGTGGACTCGCCAGCATGCTGAGTGAGCGGTCGCCCGGGGAGATTTGCGGCGACTTATCTTAGCGTAGCTATCAATCATCGGGCTCCCCTACCGCACGTCCGCCCCAACCTCATCAGAACGCTGACGCCAACGATCGCACCCTTTGACTGATGAACACAATGCCGGTGCCAGCTTCCTTTCAGGCCGACATACCTCACGCAGATATCTAAATGGCTTCTTTTGTCTCAGGTATTAGCCCACCGGACGCCACCGTGCGAATAAATGAGCTTTCCGTATTGTTCCTTGTTCCGATCCGCGGTTTGCTCACCGGAGCCGAAAATTGCTTCTGCCCTTCAGGGAGCGCAAAAAAAGGCCAAGCTCGCCCCTTCGCAGCTACCTTTTACCCCCCCGTGTTTCGTGCTTCACGCAGGCGGGCGGAGAGCGAGAGCGGCGAAATGACAACTTGCCTCTTTCATTGGAAGCCGCTTTAACGGGTCAGCGCTTTTTGCCGGCGAGGGGCAACAGGTGGCGTTTGATGCCCGCGTCGAGCCCACGCTGTGATTTGCGAGCGTGCCAGCTGCGCATCTAAAGCGGCCCACTTGGGCGCTTCTCCCGTGCTCCGGGTTTACCTTTTACTTCTGCGGAGCCCAGATAAATCCGGAGGGCACCTGTGCCCCCATCCATAGCATTTCCATTTCCATCAATGTCTGCGTTCTCCATCATTAAGGACTCGGCCGGCGTTTATTTGCCGTTTGCCGACGAGCGTGACCGGAATGCAAAAGTCGTGATTGCGGCTGCACAGCTGGGGTGCCGAGAGGACGGCGTGGGTCGACGCACTCAAGATTTCTCTCTTTCCACCAATCGCCCGTACAAGAAAGAAGGGGGAAAACAGTTCTCGAATGAATTGACTTTGTCAACATAGTGTGGAAGGCATTGAAATCATCTATCAAATTTGCGGACTTTCTTTCCCGATCTACCGTAACATCGTCTACGTTGACGCGCACAAAGTTTGATGTTGTCGCGGCAGATTGCTCAAATTCCTCCTCCCTGTTTTCGACCGGAAACCTCCGGCAAAAAGGCTCGGCTTTGATACTTGACTTTTGCGGCTTGTGAGCACCCCGGAAAGAGTGCAAACACATCGCTCAGAATCCAGTCATTATCTTTGCTGAATATATTTGTCCTGATTGTGCTCTGGGAGCAGAACCGCACGTCTGATTTACCCAACTCGTGTGGTCGAAATAGCTTTTGAGGGTAACGATGTCGAGTTGCCGGGGTCGTCCCCTCAATGATTGCGCTTCATGTCACTTGACTTCTCAATTATTCTCGGGATCAGCTTTGCAAACCGTGACCTGCGAGTCTTTTAATTAAGAGTACAGAAATGGTTTTTGTACCCAGCCTCAAACTTCAGGGGGAACCCCCCCCCCCGATAGATTTTTGAGTTCTGCTTCTCTTGCGCCCTGACAGCTGCACCTTTTGGGTCCTGTTACAGGTATCCACTTGTATACGGATTAAACCTCAGTGCTAAAAAAATGGACTCCTACTGTGAGCTATTTCTATTCTGGCTACAGAGCAGTGCTCAAGCCTCACAACAAGTGTGATTAATCATATTTGGCACCAGCAGGCTTGTGTTTGCTTTTTATCAGAGGCGAGGTTCTTTGGGGTTGTTGCATCACAGATCGCTGAATATCTAATTTCGAGAGGCGAAGTTTGACAAACGAGTTCTAGCCCAACTTGTCAGACTTATCTCCTCGAAGCAGGACATAAGTGGGGGATCAAATCCTGACAGGTGTTGCATTATCCCTCTGCTAATCTCCCGTTGGGTGGGGGGTAAACGAGAGGGTTTTTTTTTTTTTTTCTGGGAACGTTGCCTAAGTGGGTGCTGTCACAACACGGCTTGACTTGACGGGCCGTCGGTCAAGGATTACCGTTCGCTCGGCTTTACTTCCAACGACACCGCCGGATGGATTGCGCGGACTCTGCTGGCCACTCTTGATTGACGGCGTCACGTCGCACTCGCGTCTTGACACTTTGTCACAGTCTGCTGCCTGTTATGCGCCGAAGAAGGTGCGGTGCGCTTTGCCTCTGCCAACTGTCCAAGGGCAACGTTTGCTTTGCTTCTTTATCGCTTTGCTGTGAATCACAGGAGGATGTGTGCGGGTGGGGTGGGGGGAAGGCCGGCCAAACGCAGAAACAATGAAGTAGAACAAATCCAACAGGCGCCCATTTTATCTCGTTCCCCCGCCACCGCCACCGCCATGCCTGCCTTTTCTCTGTCATCGCTATCGGCCGCTATCTTAATGAGCGCCGGCTTTCCATCGAGGATGAGTGCAAGCCAGCCAGCCGGAGCGATGCGGAGAAGCCGGGCTGCGCCATTAGGGATATTTAGTTTGGCGCCAACCCGTTAAGAGCAGACACAACATTCCGTGGGTGACTTAAGAATGTTTCGGGCTACAGGGCTCGTTTTGTTCTTATTGGTATTAAAAAAAAAAAAATTCCTCTGTCGTTCATTTGGCGAAATGTAATTGTAAAATAGCGCTCTGATTGCTAATCGCTGGAGGCCGAGTTATGAGCTGCTGCAACAGGTTCGACCCCGCTTGGTTTTATTTGCTAATCGCGTCAAAGCCCCAAATCAGAATTAACGGGGTCTGATGATCATACCGCAGATGACGACCTTACTGTTTGTTTGCTGCAGAGCCAAAACAAAACAGCAGCGTAGCACGCAATCTTTAAAACGTCCACGCGGGACAGGCTTTAGCTGAAACCCCAGAAGCAACACAATCGCGCAAAGCCTCTTCGCGGCCGGCTCGCTCCGTAATAAGCCAGCTCATCGGAATGCACGCGAGCCGGAGAAACAGGTGCGTCCCAGAGGCGGCGTACAATCGAGCAAGGCAGCGCGCTAACAGCTTTCTTGGGAAATGATCGTAACGAGCGCCAACGATAGGGAGGCGCATTATGCGCACGCATGATGATGCCGTTCCCGGCCGAGCAGAAGATGCATTTCCTCAGAGTTCGCTAAAGCGGGAAAAAAAAAAAAAAAAAAGATCCGCGAGCCATGAGATGACGACGATCAACCGAGGCCTGTTGTTTAGGGTAAGCTAGTGAAAGTATACAAATTGTAGCACAGGTAGCGTTTGAGCCTTCTTTTGGCCATGATGTCTGTGTCTGATAATAGGACCGCATGCTGAACGATTAAAAAAATATATTTGCGCGCTAATTTTAAACACAAGGCTTCGTCAATTGATTGACTATTTAGCGTCATCAAGCGCTCTCATTTGGATTTTTTCCATTTGGGAGAACTCTGGGACAGTGAGTGACAGCTAGTCTTTCAGCACTGTGTATCCCCCCCACCCCATCACAAAGACAACTGCAGGTTCAGTCCCGTTTGCGTACGCTTGGGCCAAATTTACACAACCAAAAGACGAGAGACGTCTCTCAAGCCGCGCCGATCCACTTGGAAAAAGTTTGTGTTCTTGTAGCCCGAGGGTGGCGATGAACAGCTGCCGTGTCTCGCTGATATCTGATCAACTTTACGAAGACACTAAAGCTCCCCGTCGAGGCGGAGTGGAAGCGAATTGCTGCAGGTGAGGCTGCATAAAGCCATCCCAGCCGCCTTCATGCCTCTTCTCCAGCGAAGCTATTATCTTTCGATGTATGGAAATGTGCTAATTAAAGGCAAATCAGAGGAGGATTCTCGACTAAGTTATTAACGCATTTTTGAAATTACACATGCAAGATGGTCCGTCTTCATCATCCCTCTTCTTTTTGTCCTTTTGTTTTCAGACGATGACACGTTTTCCTGGGGATGGGGGTGGTGCGGTGGTGTGTGTGTGTGTGGGGGGGGGTTGGACAGAAGCGCGTGTGTCTTTGGCGTTGACGGAGGTCGCAAGTGACACTGCCATTTTTCACAAATGGTGCAATGTGGTTGCAATATCAAAAGTGTTGATGGGAGGGCACCTTTTTGATGATTCTTGGAACACTGTTAATTCCACAGCCAGTT